CTATTGTCATTTATTTTGGTAATGGTGCCATTACCTTAGCAAGACACCCCACATATTTTCAAGTGTTTGTATGAAGGTTTTTGAACTTTATATAACTCATATAGTGTCATGTCCTTTTTCTTTCGATGTACCTTATTTCAAAGGTAATTAATTGAGATAACAACTTCCTCCACATGTTCTGTGATAACTCATATCTTCATAAAAAAAAGCATTCATCGTTTCTTTTAGAGTCTATTTTTTTGCTTGACTACTCCATTAGATTGAGTAGAATAAGAGGAGTTACTTCGTGAATAATACCATGTTATGAACAAAATTCAATAAATGGTTCAACATATTCACCATCACGATCACTTCTCTTAATCTTAATCCTTTTATTAAATTGGATTTTGACTTTTTGATTATAGAGTTTAAATTTCTTTATAGCTTCATCTTTGCTCTTAAGAAAATAAACATAGCATTACTTTGTACTATCATCAATTAAAGTAATCAAATATTTATTTCATTCTCTCATTTGAATAAATTTTAAGTGACAAACATCGCTATGTATTAGATCAAGTGATTCAATATTTCTTTCAACAGTTTGAAAATATGATCTTGTTAATTTTGCCTTAACACATTTTTACATTTATGATTATAATTAATATGAAACAAAGGATTGTGTTCCAAGTTAATTAACCTACACAAAGTATCATACTTAACTTGTCCAACCCTATCATGTCATAAATTAAATGATTTAAGCATATAAATGAAAGAAGAGGTGATATTCTTATCATGGTTTTTTCTTTTATAGAGATAGCATTTAGTTTCCACATATCATTCAAAACATATTCTCTACCCACAAACATTCATCCTTTATAAAAAAAAAATATCAGTTTTTGCAATTCAAACATCATTCTAAAGTCGTGAACACTTAAGAATTAAAAAATCAGGTTTGTTTTACTAAAGTTGTTGTAGGCTTAGGGCTCAAAGACATATATTATTGGAATAAAGCTAACTTGTTCCAGCTTATTAGGAACATTTTGGGTGCACTGGATCGATGTGGGTTGCCTGGGTCAAGGCTTGTGTTTTTAAAGGTGGGAATTTTTGGACTTTTGATTGTGGCAGTTCCATAAGCTGGAGTCTAAGGAAACTATTTAACCTTAGATGGGAGGATGTTGGGTTTTCCTCAAGGCCACTTGAGTGTTGCGAGGACAAGGCTGATTAGGGTTAAAAATGAGAAGATGTCATGGCACAAGCTGATTTGGTTCCCTGACCACATGCCTCGATATTCTTTTATTGTCTGACTTGTTTTGCTCGATAGGCTTGCCACTAAGGTTAGACTGAGTAGGATGAGAATTACTATTGATTTTTGTTTGTTGCTTTTATGGTGTTGCTGGGGAAACTAGAAATCACTTGTCTTCGCGTGTGATTTCTCGAGGGCATCTGAGAAGCTGTTTTGGAAATGTGCAATCTTAATGGGAGGGTTTCTAGTTGGAAGGAGGTAGTGCATTGGGCTTCTGCTAAGCTGAAGGACAAATCGATGTTGTTTTACATTTTAAAAATTGTGTGGAATGCCACAATTTATTTTACTTGGCATAAGAGGAATAAGAGAGTTTTTACTGCTATTACTAAAAGTGGAAAGGTGATTTTGGATTCTATTATTGAGCTAGTTAGGCTTAAATGTATAGATAGGTCTGAGGTGATTGATCATTTTTTGTATATTACTTGGGGAATTGCTTAGGGTGACTGGTTTTTCTTTGATGCTCTAGCGCTGTGCATTGTAGCAGTTGTTGCTGCTTTGCTTGGGTAATAAATCTCCATATTATTCAAAAAAAAAAACACAACTCAAAAACTCTTTTCTTCTTATATAGTTTTCAGTGATAGCTTAGGCAAGATATAGTTAATGATCTCTACAATTGTATTATTGTACGTTGATCATCTCGTTGTTGTATCTTGAGAGACAGACGACCAAATATATCGAGCACCAAGAAGTGGCCGAAAATATTCTTAAGGAAATCGTGTAACTACATGCATCAACTAATTTTCAGATCGTTATTTTGTCGATATTCATTTTTTTATTCTGAATTGTATTCTTTGTTTATTAATAAAAACTATTTTTTTGTCTCGAATTGTTATACCGCGTAACATTTGAAATTCACACTCAACTATTAAAAAAAATAACCAATATTTCCATTGATACTATAAATAATTATAAATATTACATATATATATATATATATATATATATATATTATCTCTCAATTTACATTATTTTTAAAATCCATCTTTACATTTAAAATCTAAGTTGGCAAGTGAATGAACCAAGTAAAATTAAAAATCATTTTTTTTTCTGCCAAGACAAACCTAATTTCTAGTTGTCCAAACACAATAGAATTAGGACATCAACTTGGGTTAATGAATTTAAAAGGCAATTATAACACAATGGTCCTACTTGGTGTGTGCCCACCTTGACCTTGACTTTATTACAAGCATCCCAACTCCAAACATTGAATGTTCCGAACTCAATGGACCTCGTCATCTTATTGTCTTTATTTTGTTTAAACGCCACCAGCACTTGTAGATTAGCTCCTTCAATCCTACGTAAAAGCCTTATCCAATCATTCTGTCATTAAAAATAATCAAATGTTTAGTAGGACCTTAATGTATTTATTATTACTTAATTATCGTCACTTCAAACATCATTTATAAGTAGTGAGGAGATAATTCGTATAGTTCTCAAACAACGAATTCTTTGAACTAGATAAAATTATTTTTAATTAAAAAATCAAATTAATTAAGAAGTTAAATTTCAACAATTTTTAATGATCATATATAAAAAAGTAATTTTTAGGCATTTTTATCCTTATTATTTTTTTGGAACATTTTTACCCTCAAAATTTCAAAATAGAACAAAATGATCTCTAATATTTAACTAAATAATCATTTTATATCTTTTTTTTGGAGAGTTTGACATAAACATGTCATTTTTTAGCAAATAAACTCTTATTTTAGATCGTTAATCGCTTGTTGACAAACAATTTTTATCTACGAATGAGTCTTTCTGTCCCAAAATAAAATGCTAGGGACAAAATACTAAAGAAAAATATATGTTAAAGATATTTTTATCATTATGTTTCATTTTATATTTAAGTTGTATGAATTAAAATATATACAATCCTCTTTATTAAAACTTTAAAATCTAAATCTTAAATTCTATACTTTAAAACTGAAATCTTAATTTTTTTTAATAAAAATATGATACTAAAAATAAATACATTTGTGATGTTATCTACTTTTTAATCTAAATTATTGAGTGACTTTAATGATTAATCGGAACATTATTTTCTTTTTTAGGTCATGAGTTCAAATAGATGTATTTACAAGATGTGTATGTATTATCAATAATTACGAAAGATTATAAATAAATACTATATTATAATTACTTTATATTATTAAAATATAATATTTAATGGATTGGTTATTGTCAGATTTTTTTTATTAAATCTGGAGTAATTATAATGTAATATATGTTTAAAGATAACTCTCAACTTTGATATTAAACAGTCACACTCCTAGTATCTATAATACTCGAGCTCGAAACCTCAAATAATAATTCTTTTACCACATATTAATAACCTTTAATTAAATATAAAGACCAAATAGATAAGTGTGGGAAAATATAAAATAGAGAAAACTAATGAGGTGGAGTCAATATGATAAAATTATTTCTTGAACCACATGAACGAATTGACTTTTCAAATATATATTTCTAGAACTCTTGTTGCTCAAGGTTAATAAATAAGTCGTGTGCATAAATACACTTGTTGATCAAGGCATGGTAAGTACCCCATCACGTCACGCATGATGCATCCACCCCCCCCCCCCCATAATCATACCATCATCGACTGTAGGATGGATCGAGTGTGTTAAAAAGACGGTTATATTTCTTAAAAAAAATTAAAATTTTATATAATTTAATTTTTTATAATGATTTAATGATTTATAAATTTATATTTATAAATTTTTTAATATATATATATATATATATATATATATATATTAAAATTACGTTTTTAATCATTCACCCTTCTAGAGACTATTATACGGGCTAAGCTATTTTTCTAAAATAAAAAATAAAAAAAGGTAAACTACTCAAAAAACCAATTAATTATGATATTAGTGTTGATACTCCAATCATATTTTCTATTTTAACAATATAATTAAATAGTTATTTAAGTGATTTCAATATAATTCATCTTCTGTTATAAAACGAAAGACATAAATGATGTGGTTGTTATTGACTAACGATGAGTCAGATGACCACATAAACTATGTTGTTTATTTTTTAACAATAAGTGGCAACATTGAAATTACTTAAATAGTTATATAGTCATATTATAAAAATAAAAAATATAGTGGTCATAACGATATCAACCCTATAATGAAGTGGTCATTTGAGTAGTTTAGCCAAAAGAAAAACTACAACAATGACCTGACGCCAGCAAATATTATTAACACGTGTTACTTCTCCATCAACCACCTACTCCGCCTTCCGACATTTGTTTCCCAATTATCATTTAACTTTTGTCTATTTATGATTTATATTTGATAAATAAAATAAAATATTGATATGAGAATAATTTTTAATTCAATTTATTTTATTTATAATTTAAATATTATCTAAAATAAATATATAATTACAGTAAATCAATAAATAAAATTAAAAGTGATAGATAATATAAATGATCAAAATATAGTAATTAAAAGTTGAGTATCGAAATTAGAAGAATAAAAGAAACGTGACATGTACCATAATTGACCCTAAATGAAAGGGATTTCCAGACAAATAAAATCTCCAATTATTTCGTTTTTTTGTTCATTTCCTTGCAATTATGGTTATAAAATATATTACTAATAATATCAGTTAATAAAGAAAGAAAAGAAAAAGGAGGGGGAAGTTTCGACCAACCACCTCTGTTTAAAACCCAACAAGCTCAAACCGACTTCTTAAATTCAATTTTCTCCTTTATATATTTGTATCTGCCGCATGATCAAAGCTTTCATTCTTGAGCTTCTTCTTTTGGTTCTGCTGATGCAAGTCATGAGTTCCTCACCGTTTTTATCTCCCACCTTCAATAACGGCGTAGCCGGAAAGTTCAGTCACGATTTCGGACTTAAACTACGGCTCGAAGACGAGGAGCCTGAAAAGGAAGAAGAGAGAATAATCAGTCAGTCGGAAATGAAAGATGAAAAAGAAGCCGAAGTGGAAGAGGAAGCAGAAGAAGAACAAGAGGAGGAGGAGTTTTCATTTGTTTGTTTAAATCCCGATGGATCCCCGATTTCTGCTGACGACTTGTTCCAAGACGGTCAGATCCGTCCGGTTTTCCCGTTATTCAACCGAGATCTCCTCTTCACCGATGAAAACGGAACAGTTTTGAAGACCGAAGAGGGTGACGTCGCTCTACCTCCTCAGGTGAGGAAGGTTTTCGTGGAAGATTCACCGGACACGATGTCATCGTCGTCTAGCACGTCGGAACCGGCGGGGCCGTACTGCGAGTGGAGAGGCGGAAGGACCGCGGTGGAAGCCCCACCAGACACGTGTCGGAAGAGCAACTCGACGGGTTTCTCCAAGCTTTGGAGGTTCAGAGATTTGAAGCTCCGGTGTAGTAGCGATGGAAAAGACGCGTTCGTCTTCTTAAACCAGCCTCCGCCTTCTTCGTCGTCGATAAAAACTGAAAAGAAAAATGAAAAAGAAGAGAAAAAATCGAAGGTGAAAGTAAGCGAAGAGAAACTCAAGGTAAAGCAAAACGGCAAAACGGCATCGCCTTCGGCTCACGAACAGCTTTACGTTGAAAACAGAGCACAAAGGGAAGGAGTTAAACGGCGGTCGTATTTGCCGTATAAGCAGGTCGGATTTTTCACTAACGTCAGCGGCTTGAGCAGAAATGTTCATCCATATTAGGTTTCTAATTAATTAATTAAATAAATAATCTTAATTTTATTAATTTTTTTCTTTGTAAATATTGAGAGTACAGTATTTTATGGCATTGTAAACCTTATTGGAGAAGTCCAACATTTTTGGTTTCGAAACATTGTATTTGCCCTCTCGAACCCTAAACATAATTTTAATAACCACAACATATGGAAAATCGAACAACAACAACAAAGCTCCTGCACTCGTACTTGTCTTTTTACACTTATAAGTGTCAAAAAAAATTATAATTAAAATTTTAAAATAAATACTACCTTTAATGTTAAATGAATTAAATATGAGTTAAATTTGTAATACCCTAAATTGTCGAAACGGGGTCAATTTACAAACATATTTATTTGTTATGCGACATATGTAACTATTTGGAACAGATAAAGCAACTTTTTTTTTACCTTTACAACTATTATTAACTACACGCGTCGAGTATCTTTATGTCTTTTTATGTCATAATTTGTGTCTTTCACAAATATTTTGGTTAAAAGTGTTTTTAGAAATTATAATTTTGGAATTATTTGTAAAGCTACATATGGTTGGCGTGGATGAGTTTCGCGGCACATTATTCCCTTTTCAGTTTATGAATGAAAGTTTAAAGAAGTTTCATAAATGAAAATAATAAAGAAAAAAGAAACCCTTTTTTTTACACTCGGAAAAGAGCTGTTCAGACATGACTAGGTATGAGCATAGGACTGATACATTCCGATCCGATTTGATCGGATCAGTTTTTTTTAAAAAAATCGAATTCAGATTAGGTTGGTTTGATTTTTCTTAAGGTGATGTTCGGTCGGTTTGTATTCGGGTTTAGGGTGAAAAATATCTAATCCGACCCAACTCGTTTTAAAAAAATAATTTTACCTTATATATTTAGGAATAATTATATTGAGAAACTACTAACAATGGTGTATTTACAAAGGAAAGGATAATCATTCATATTAGTCAGTACACCTTATTTATAATGCGAGCCTAAGCTCACCAACTTCTATTAACATACTAACCTCTTCTATTAACAGACTAACCACCTAGCTAACCATACTAACAAAATAACTGTTTGCTTACACGTGTATTACATCTCTAACAGCACTCTAACATTCCCCCTACTCTTCTTGCTTCCTCTTCGAAGACAACATAACACTCCCCCTACTTTCTCAACCTTCTTGATGAAAAGATGAATAATTGAATCGAAACTGCTGATGCTTCCTTCCGTTCACTTGAATCGAAAGTGCCGATGCTTCCTTCCGTTCTTCTTGAATCGAAAGTGCCGATGCTTCATTCCGTTCACTTGAATCTAAAGTGATGCTTCCTTTCGTTCTTCTTATTCACCTTCATTTCTTTCTTCTTCATCCTCTTATAAAAGGTTCCTTGATATTTTTTTTTAGCTGCTAATTATTTTTGACACATCCAACTCAACAATGGCGCTCCCAAATGATTAAGCAAATACAGAGTACTGTAATATTCAATGGTAAGTGATCAAGTCAGTTGTTCATCAATGGAAGAAAAAAGAAGCTATACTAAACGGAGTAATCTCGATGGCCGGTTACCCTCTAGCCTCCGAACGATCACGGTGGTTCTCCACTCAGTTTTTATTCAGTAGATTGTAGAAAACTTCAGGCTTTTTATACTATGAGATGCACAAGGCCTTCTTTTGTTAGACTGATGCATGTAAAGGTGGTTAGTCTGTTAGGTTGATTAGCTAAGTCAGTTAGTTTGTTAGGTGGTTAATGGTTAGCTAAACCATTGTTATAAAAGCAGTGTAATAGCTAATATGAATCTATGCAATTCTTTACTGTGTATATTCTTTGTTATACACACTTCTCAATAAATTACAATAATATTATTTTATATATTATTTTTAATTAAATTACTGTTTTTATTAAATAACAATAATATTTTTTTTGTTATTTTGGGTTGAGTCGAATCAGATAGGGTTTAAATTTTATCTCAAAAAGTCGAATCCGATACGAATCAAGTGAAATATATATATATTTTTTAAGTCAAATTAAATCGAGTAAAAAACATAAAATTTTTAAATCAAGTCAAATTAGTCCAAATTCGACCCATGTCGTCCCTAAACATGACAGCTCGCAACGCAAACTCTATTATTTGGTTCACTGACAGAAAAGTGTTGTGGGGTGGGGGGGTATTTTTTCCCTGCATCTTCTCGTGCAAATGGCTAAACTTAAAGCCGACCAATTTCACCGAGGGGACCATCCTTTCACCATACTTCGTTTACACTTGTCCTAACATGAGCAAAATATAAAATAAATAAAAATAACTGTACAAGATATCTACAAATTATAATCTCATTTTAAATGATTCTTTAATTTTTAAAATATTTTATATCAATTTTTAAATTACAACCCACATTTTTGATTTGATGTTTAAATTTTAAAATATTTTATATCAATCCTTATAGTATGACTCACATTTTAAATTGATCTCTAAATTTTAAAATATTCTATATCAATATTTAAAATATTAGTCTTAATTTATTTTAATTATTCTATTAGCGTACCTTTAATTTTACCCATTAAAAGAATTTTAATATATTTTTTACTCATGTAAATTGAATCTATAACCTTCCAAAAAAAATTTATCAAGATTTTTAAAAGCAGGTTAAATTTTTAGATAACAAATTCAATTCTCAAGACCATAAAAAATAAATTGATTTTTTTAGGTCACAAATTCATTCTCAAGAGCTTCAAAAATTAGTAGAGTTAACAATACATTAGCAAAAGAATCAAAACAAAATAATATCAATAGTTTGAGAACATACAAAAGATATTTTAAGATTTAAGAACCAAATTAGAATGGATTCAAAGTTTAAGGATTAATTTAAAATGTTTTACAATTTAGATGCCAATTTAAAATGAGAGCCATACTTTAGGGACCTCTTATACAATTAACTCCAAAAGACAATAAAAGTATATAAGTGCAGGGACAAACAGAAGATTTTATGTTAGGAGCCATAATTATCGGATAACTTTTCAAACACACCCTTCATAATTGTCATATTTATGCATTCCAAAGGAAATATCAAAATCAAATTAGAATCATAGTAATAGTTCTCAGCTTCCGGTCCCATGTCCTATAAAGCAGATGAATAGAGGCCACAGAATAAGTTCTTGCTGCCACCTATCTTCAATGGAGTCAGAACTTTAGACATTCAGTTTTCTGTAATATCTATATAAAATATCTACATCGCATGAAACAGGATGATCGTTGAGATAAACAAATGAATTGGGACTAACAACATGATGTTCAAACAACTGTGTACTTGTCTGAATATCAGGTAGGGTTTTGTCCGGACAAAACAATTTTCATTGTTTAGGCAAACTATAATCATCTAATAAATGCATATATACATCAAACCGAAGCTTAGCTCAAATGGTTCATCGAGTCGGTTTTTAAGATATGGGATCTGATAGATCCGGGTTCATTTTAACATCGGCAACCTTTCCTTTAATCCCTAGACTAAATCCTACAAACAAGCATATCTATCAATGTTATACATTCGAAGATAACCTCTAGAAAAGTATCAAATCTCTTCCAACAAAGACCCTCGGACAGATCTTCCATCTATCGTAGCCTCCAAGGAACCCGCATCCCTCCAGGCACAGGTCTCTGAACCAACTACAATTATAGATAAGACCTCTGACAGGCCCACGTGACTTACTAGAACAAAATCCAAGATCTAACGACCAAATCTATTTAGCTAACTGGCCTACAAATAGCTGTAATGATCTATGTTTGGCATCACCAACCAGAAGCACTATACCCAACATCTATAACTGAGAAGGGGGATCCTGGCATCCATAATCTCCACATATAACTCCTTCCTTATGACTAACTCTCTCACACATAGAAACACCGGCCAATGACCATTCTCTCATCGATCGTGACTCTTCATCCCAATTAGGAGTGAACTACCAACAGGCGACGAGACATCATCAATCAGCAAAGGGATACTATAGTTGGGGACCACATTAAGAAAAGTATGAATGTGAAAAGCTCTTTCAAGTCTTGAGATCAGTACAGATTCCCTATTGCATGCAAGAAATGGACCAATGACAGATGGTGTCCTCTAGAAAGTTGAAAGGCCGGGCAAGGAAAGCGAAACAAGAAAAAGGACGTAGGTTTCCCTATTACAAGGGCAGAGCCCGAACATTTTTCTCAGAAGGGGACCAAAATAACACAAACAGAAACTATATACGACATTCTCTACACAACTAAAGTTTACTGCTTTATTCCAAAACCGAGAGAGCTCGATCAATTACTAGGAACCAATAGCCAAATTTATCTTCAGAGAGGTTCGATCTGTTCTCTCCTAATGATTCATATACTTTATCACAATAAACTCAAACAAAGTAGTTAAATTTTTTCTTTTAAATATATATGGATTACAAAGATATAGATAATATTAAAAAAGAAAGAAAGATGTAAATGTAAAGATAAAAACACAATTGTTTTGGTAAGATGAAGCTGATCTTACCAGAATCAGAAATACAAGTTCTCTACCATTACAGATCATTTCGATTGCAAAAGTGATTTAGAATTAGGTTAGAAGAAAAGTTTTATATAGGCGACTTCAAAAGTATTCAGGGTGTCGAAGGAGAGGTCTTGGTCCTCCGAATCCCATTACAGCATCTGGAAGACTTCGATATTAGCATAAAATAACTAATTCTAAACAAAATTAAATGCACACATAACAAGTGAAAATGTAATTTATTAAAACACAATATAGGAGCATCCTCATCATTGTTACATACAATGACAAGTAGTATGCTCACTTACTAAAAGAAATACCCTTTCCTATCAGCAAGATTCTGTTATGTGGGTGTCATGCAGGTTGCACCCATTTAAATGTGGACATTTTCATATTTCAGCGCAGGTCAAAGATCTCAAACCTTAGATTTGAATTTTTGTAGACATGAGTGCAGTGTTGATATATGGGGCTCCCATTTACTGTTTCTTGGTGAGAATGAAATTGAGATCCTTTCTCTTGGCATTCTTTCAGGACA